TCCATGCAAATAAATGTGCGTCTTTATTTTGTGTGTGTGTGTGTGTGTGTGTGTGTGTGTAGGGTTTTAAATTAGGGTTTAGGGTTTGAGCATAACAAACAAGATAAATCAGCAAATTGCTTGAATGTAAAACATTGGTTGAAAATAAAGTTAAAAGCTCATGATGTAATACTTGAGTGTTCATTATGCCTGAAAAAATATGATTATTTAATGCTTTGTACGATGAATGCTGATCTATTATTATTATTATGATCAATTTATGATTTGTATTAGATGAAGAGTGAGTGTGGAGAAGAAATTTAAGAGGAGCTGCAATTGTAGATGACAAGGTTCAAAATATTTTTTTGATATTCAAAAGAATATTATGTTATCAATGGGGAGATTAGTTGTATAAATTAAACTATGATACACTTAATTTTGAACTAATAAATTATAGAAGTGTTTGATATGAATCTTTTAAATCAACTGTGCCAATGATGGGGCGTCCCCTAAAAGTCTTGTGCCTGAATATAGTGACAAGAATCGGTGCTCGGATGCACAATTAAATAAGCAAAAAAATTTTATATTATGAGCGGATGTTAGTAAAGAAGTTAGTTAATGAAAATAATATTAAGATATGAATTTGTAATATGGATATTCTGATAGATAGATTAATGAAATTTAGTGATCCATAAGAAGATAAATATCTTATACATTTAAAAAATTAAATAGTTTGAAGAAAAAACTGAGAAGATTGATAGTTTAAGTTTTAAAATTTGATATTCAAGTAAATCATATCAAAAATTGTGTATGTGTAATTATATATAAATATTTTAAAAATAACATCGTAAAAATCAATAGACTTTATGATAAATTTATAACTCTAAAGATTGTTGTTGATATTGTAGTTTTTAATATTATAAGTGTTTATGCTCTCCAAGTATGTTTAGATATATGTTAAAAAAAAATTAATGAGCCAAAAAAATTAATAGGATAACTCTTGTAAAAAAATTATTGGAGACTTAATAAACATGTTAGTTGAATGACAGAAGATTTTAGAAATATTCATGATGATTATGATTTTTTAGGGACTAACAAAGATGGTAGTCATATTGGATTTTCTTTTAGCTTATGATTTTATTATTATTAATATTTTATTTAATAAAAAAGAGAGTATATTATCACTTAAAAGAATTGTTTTAATAAAACACAATTTGAATAATTTTATGAGAAAAATAGATCATCGAGATTGTAAAGATTTAATGTCATTTCAAGTGAAAATTTAAGTACACCATCTCTTATTGGTTTTGAATTTTAAGATGATGGATTAAAAGATTAAAAATATAATAAAATATCATCATGGAATTAGATGGAAACACTTAAAAGACAAATAAAATTATTTTTATGAGTACAATTCAAGATTTTAAGATTTGGAATGTTAATAACCAAGCTAATATTATGTAGAATAATGTAACGAGTATTATGAAACAATTTGTAAAATATTTGCTCGGAAAATTAAAAAAAAAAAAAACTTTTGGGAATAAAAATGGTTGGGGTCAAAGTGATCAAATAATAATGTGGAAGAAAATATAACAAGTATGAAATTTTGTTATAAAAATTGGTTCAAATGTAAAAACTTGAAAATTTGAGAAAAAAATATAAGATGGTCTGTAGGATGGGTGAAATATTTTGATAAAATTTTCGATGAAGATTGTGAAAATATGATCAAGTTTAGTGATATTAATATCATAAATAATAATAGTTTTTTTATTTCCAACATCACATTAGTAAAACATAAGTTGAGGATGCTATAAAGATAATGAAGTGTGGAAAAACAATAGGATATGATTATATTATAACAAAAGTGTGAAAATACTTATAAGATTTTGTGAATTTTTCGGCTTATTAAGCTTTTTAATATTATTTTTAAAACTAAAAAGATGTCTGATGAGTGGAGAAAATTTCTGCTGGTCAATATTTTTAAGATTAAACACAATAGTGTAAGTTCTAAATGAATTAAGTTAATGTGCGACCTAATACAATAATTTTTCAAAATCATTTTGAATTCATATCGAGCAAGTTTACTATGGATGTTATACATTATTGAGAGGTTTGACAGAAAAGTGTCTAGAGAATAAGGAAGATGTACTTATAATTTTTTTTACTTAGAAAAAAACTTATGATAAAATTTCAATAGAAGCCTTTTGGAGAGTTCTAAAAAAGACAGGTGTTGATATTACTCATATTCAAGCCATTAAAAATATCTATACCATAGTTATTGCTTGTTTTTTAACACAAGGAGGATTGACCAAGTATTTTTTACCTATTTCATTTGGATTACATCTGGGACAGACTTTGAGCCTTTATCTTTATGCTTTTAGCTATGATATCCTTTTTGTGGATAAGATAAGAGAGAGTGTTCAGCTCATTTTACACTTTGAACTAAAAGATGAGCTTGAATAAATCAATGGGGAAAAGTAATTAAACGAATTATTTTACTGTGAAATGTTTTCGCATCATGCAAAATGCTTATTTATTATTATTATGACATGAAATTTTCAAGATGGAAGAAACTGAATATGCTAACAATCAACCCTGGAATACTCTCTTCCTGCCCAGTTTTCAATAAGACATTTTTTTTCAAAGATCTTCTCACCATATTCGGCCAAAGCTTCCTTCAGAAAGCTTAAAAATTGCAGGAACTCTCTGATTGTCATCTCACTTGAACCAATATGTTTAATTAAGTTATCTACAATTGATCTAAGCTCAGCACCACATTGCATCGCTCCTATAAACCTTTTGCCAACTTTAGGGCTGAGATTTTTAGCCTAATAATTGATTGAAGTGTAGTTGTTTGAACATTGGATTGTGTTTTGGTTGGATCAAAATCAAAGAGCCGAACAATTCATATATATACATATAGCTCGGCTTGAAACTAATGAGGAAATCAGGTCCAAATAAAGACCAAATTGAGCTGGATGATAAGAGGTTTATAATCCTCTTTACAGATTTCAATTAATGGGATAGCCAGAATTGAAGGAAAGCATATGGGATCATGTGATTAGTAGATATAGCTAAATATATTAACATAAATTATGCGAACAAAAAAAATATATTGTAATGCAAATTGACCCATGTCCATGGCAGAATTACAGCACGTGGCATCAGAAATAAATACCCTTACTACTTGCAAGTTTTCAGGAGGAAAAAGAAGAAATTGAAGCATATATCTACATCACAATCTGCCTGAAAGTTAGGTTGATCCGAACTGAACCTGGTTTAGAACGCTTCGGCACTGAGTGAAGCCAATCTCGCTGGGTATATCCTCTCATCACCAGTAAGGAGCCATGTTTCAGCACGAATGAGTGCTGATCTTGGCTAGTAATCTTCAGCCGCTTATTTTCCGACTCTTCTGAAGTATTAATAGCTAGCATAGTCAAAGGTAAATAGAAAAAATATGTCAGCTAGTTTGTCGATATGGCACTCATGTTCTTGTGTGTATATCTGATGAGTGATGATTGAGTAAAATATTAAGAAAAATTTAAGTACTGTTGAATCCCAAAACATCCGGAGAATACGCCCACGGTATAGAATGTTAAACGATAGAGGTAGAGGATGAGAGAGCACTGTAAGGAGCCGTAAAGAGAGTGTAACATTTATTTATATCATAGACCCCATATATATAAGCATAAGTTCCAACATTACAAAAGTACATACTAGTCTCCTCATCATTGACTTTTCAGAAGCACATTTTAGTAATTATAAAGTTATTCACATATAATAAGATCAAGGTGCTGATTCTATCAATAAGAGTTCGTCGATCGTCCGGTAACCCTCGAATCGATCAATATTTAATCCAAAAGGATGTTTCTTGTCTTGTCGATCGTCCTGAGGGCTGATCATTGCCCCTCGGGAAATCTGCTGGCATGTTCCGTCGATTGCCAGAACAAGGCGCATCTATCTCCATTGTCCAACTTGAAAGTCGTCAACAGCTACATTCAATCGGCCATTTATTCATCCTGAGTCGTTCATCTGTCTTGAGATTCGCGCTAACATATTTTCTATGTAAATATTTAGTTCCCTGATTTTCTTGCTCCTTGAAAGCTGCACAGCACACGGGATAAGAGAATCTTTTTTAACATGTATGAAATAATTAAATGACATTATTGCGTAATAATGGACTTCTCTGGATTTCCGTGCCCGAACCATTATAAATAGGCCTTAGGGTAAGGAAAGTAATATGCATATTACTCAAAGCCATAGTAATATGCAGGCGGGGGCTCACAAACCTGTCGCGAAGTGGAAATCAACAAGCGAAGTTTTTGTGGGAGAGTTGAGCAAGAAGAGAATTGTGCAGGAGTCACGAGCGAGGGAAAACGAAGATCGAACTGAGCCTTCGAACTTTCTCATAGGCTCATCACAAGGGAGAGCTGCGGAGGAGATTGGAGGGCGTCTCGACGATCTTCTTTTGGGGCATCTGTCGGAGGCGTTCACTCCTGCACAATCCTCAGGAGTACTCGTTCAAACTGCTATGAGGACTATGTCTCTTAGGGGCTCTGGAAGGTGTCAACTGAAGCTAGAACGTGGCTTCAGTCGCGAAAGGATGGCCTTTCCTCTGAGGTTGGAGGATTAAAGAAGACCGGTGACAACCTTGTCTCACTTCTAACTGGTGTCAAATTTTGGGTATGTAACTTAAATTATGCCTTTAAGTATCTCTTCAATCTTATCAGACATCGATGTCAACCCTGCGGCCGATGCAGGTGCGGCCACCGTTGATTGAGCCATGGAGGGGGGAGTGGATGTTGTGGAGCAGACTGCTGCGGGACAGGGAACCATGGAGCGGGCACCGTAGAGGTAGAGGATGGGGGAGAATCCCCCCCCCCCCCCCCCCCCCCCCCCCCCCCCCCCCCCCCCACCGTGTGGGCTATTAATTTTCTCCAGGTACATCAACAAGGAGGCATATGGGTGGCGCCAAGTGTTTGCTTATTTTCTAGTGTGTCGCTATGCTGAAATGGAGGAGCGCTTCATTAGCAAACTCCTGCACAATCCGATGGATCGACATTCAGTCTGTGGCAGGCATCATCAATCAACATGCCTGGCATTTTAGCGGTCGTCCAGGCGAATACCTCTCGGCTTTCTTGGAGTGTCGGAACCAACAGCTCCCTATGTTCTGCATCAAAAGCTTCACTTTTTAGAAAATATTTGCATTCCTCCCCTTCAACGGTTGGGACTTCGGGGGTGGTCTCGTTGGTTTCGAGGCCACCTTCCCTTGCATTTTGGATGTCCAGGTTATCGTGCTTCATGTTGCTTATAGCCTGCAAGTAGCAGGCTCAGAATTGTTATAGGTTCTTACTGTGATAATTTCTCCATCTACGGAGAATTTGACAGCGATATGATAAGTGGAGACCACAGCCTTGAAATCGTTCAAAAGTGGTCGACCAAATATAGTATTGTATGTCGGAAGAGAATCCACCAAGAGGAAATCCTCCGTTAGAGTGAACTACTTTTTGTTTTACCCCCAACTTACCGGGAGTCCAATTAGGCCCAACACTTCCTTTTTTTCTCTTGAAAATCCATACAATAATCCGACTGGTGAAGTCATCTGATCGGCAGTAAAATTTAGTTTATCGAATACCTATTTGAAAACACATTCACGAAGCTCCCGGTATCGCCAAGGATGCTCCCAACTTGATAATTATTGATTACTGTCGTTATCACAACAACATCATTATACGAATTTCCCTTCAGAGGAAGATCCTTATTAGTAAAATAGATAGGTGGGTGACTCTTTGGTTTCAGTGCAAAGGTTGTGACACAAAGCTCCCTTGTTTGTTGCCTCTTTTGATTTATCTTCCTGGGTGGTTCACTCATGTATCCCGCGATGTGAATGACATTGGTGCGGTAAGCAAAAGAGACGAACACGAATAATTTTTTTTTGTTTGACTTGTTAAACGAATCAAACACAAATAATGATGTGTTCGTTCATGTTCGAATCGTTACTGTTTGAAATATAAAATAATTTAAAATAATCATATATAAAATATTTAGCATATTTTAAAAATAATTATATAGTCTAACAATTTATCATTTTTTTAAAAAATTAAATGCTACAAATTATAATACATAATAAAATAATAATAATATATTATTGTTATTAGTACCATAAAATATTTTACTACCATAACAACACCACTTCATTGCCACAATAACACCACATACCAAACTGCGACAAATTTCCACAATAACACCACAAAACTGCTGCAAAACTCCACAATAACACCACAATACAATTCAAAAACTACCGCAATAACACCACTGCCCCGCCACCGCAATAACACCACGATTCCATGGCAAAACCTTGCCAATAAGACCACAATACTACTGGAATACACCCGCAATAACACCGCCCTCACGACCGCGCGCGATAACATCCACTACCTCTTAAATCGCGTGTAACAATAGCACCGCAATACTACCATAATAACACCACTTGTTGCGAAACCGCGGTAACATCGCAACACAACCCAAATAGCACCACTTCTCGCGGAACCGCGGTAACCCTTCAATACAACCTAAAAAAACACCTCCAATAACACATAAACGAATTACCTGAAATCATTTCAAACAAAATCGAACCGAACACGAACACGAACAATTTTAAACACAAGCCTATTTCAAACACACTTAATTTCAAACGAACCGAACACGAAAACGAGCTTCATTTGTTCGTGTTCAGCTCGTTTACACCCCTATTTATTGGTCATCTCTAACAACTAGGCCAAGCTCTTTGGTTCTTTGAGGTCGAGGCCGAAGCAGAACCTCTCCATCCTTACTATGTCAGCACAGCTTGGGCCATGTCAGGCTTCAAGTCTTTCACCTCCAAAGTCCCTCTTAAATCTTGCAATAAAAGATCGCAGGCTCTTATCAGCTCATTATTTAATTGTCACAAGAATCGAGCGCTCTTTTTAGGCCTTAGAGCGCTGACGAACTGAGAAAGAAAAAGTTTTTTGAATTCCACAAAACAAGTGATCACTCCTACTGATAACCCGTCAAACCAACTTAGTATGGACGATCTCAGCGTTGTGAAGAACAGCTTACACTTGTGAGTGTTAGAGATTTTAACAAACATATTGAGGATTTGAATGATGTGAGGTGGTCGTTGAGGTCAGATCGTCTTTTGTATGGCTCTAGGTCAGACATTTTTAATTTCTTTGAGGGTTTAGCTCTTGATACTTGGAGTGAGAAGGCATTCTCCGATTGTCTCGACGCCTCGATTCACATTGATCAATTTTTCTACTCTGGGGCGGATCTAGCACTATCCTTATATGATTCATCATCGAGCTTCTCCTGTAGGTGGATTGTTCTTCCACCGTTGTTTATCGGTGGTTCCCCTTGAGTGGGGTTGAGTGCCTCTTGTTGGGCCGGTCAGCGACTGAACTGAGCACTTCTGTCAACTGCCATAACATCTAGTTGGTGATCTGGGTCCTCAAGTCTTGCAAGTCTTGTTGAACGAATTCTTCAATAAACTCCCTGATGCATGCTGCTTTTGCCATGTTCTCTGTCAGGATTCTCCTTGTTGTTGTTGCTTAGCTCCTCTTCTTGTTGATGACATATTTCCAAGCTAACCGTATCTTTAAGGATGTTGAATCACAAAACGTCCGAAGAATACACCAAAAGTATATAGCGTTAAGAGAGATATTTAGATGATAACAGAGAACCATAGAGAGCGGTAAAGAGAATGTAATTTTTATTTATATCAGATACCCTCTATTTATAGGCATAGGTCACAACATTACAAAAGTACATATTAGTCTCTCATCATTAACTTTTCAGATGAAATTTTTAGTAATTACAGAGTTATTCACATAAAATAAGATCAGAGGGCTGATTTGATTGATAAGAGTTTGTCAATTTTCTGGTATGTTTATAACAAGACGCATCTCTCATCATCTTCTTGAGTACAGATCACCACCCTGCCGGAAATCTCCTGTCACGTTCCGTCGATCGATTGAACAAGACGTATCTCTCGTCCTTGTCTAGCCCAAAATGGTCGTCAACAACTACGTTTAATCGGTCATTTCTTCCCCCTGAGTTGTTCAGCTGTCTTAAGATTTGTGATGACATATTTTATATATACACATACATACGACACAATTCTAATGTATTTGCATATCTAAAGCCCAAACTTTAATATTTACATTTATGACAGCTAGGTGTTATAAAATCATACATGAAAAGATGTATTTCAACTTTAAAGAGATAGTGATGGTGACATTTTTTAATGCAGCGTTAAAGATATGAGTAACATGCAAGTAAATACAAATGTTTAGGTTTTAGATATGTACTTACATAAGAATTATGTGATAAGTATGTAAATGCCTCAAAAATTAATTGCAGATCATTGTGTTAAAATTTTTTCAGCTAGTAGAAAATGAAATAAAAATTAAAATCTCAACTAGTTGGAAAAGAGAGAATTTTCATTGCATTATTTTACTCATACCTCCTTTCTTGACTGGTTTCTTCTTTAAAAGGAATTCTCTTTCACATCCAAAAGAAACAGAAGCGATTTCTGGAGTGGATCCATACAATTTCTCGTCATCAGAATGCCAAGCTACATAATCTGTGCCGCATTTATACCGATTCAGTAGCAGACTATTAAATCTACTTCCAGGAAGTGCTTCATGAACCTACAATAAATTGAATTTTGTACAATCAACAATAGAGATGAAGGAAAGGTGGAGCACAAAAAAATGCAAATTTCAGTAAATAGAATGTAATTCTGCTAGGTGGATAATGAAGTCATAAATTCTTACGGCTTCCAAGATGTCTCTAAGCACAGGGTACTCATCCCAGGTGTATGCATGTGGCTGATAACCACTGTATTTTAAATTAGTAAGACCTTCACTTGCAACATAGCATGTGTCTCTAGGCTGAACGCATACATAAACTTATTTTGGTTAAATTAACCAAGCAGATTATGAAATAAATAACATAAACAGAAAATCCAACTTATGCCAGATATACTTGAGTGTGCATTACTTAGTTTTAGCAAACCAAAGAACATAAATGGAAGCTTCCAACACTTTTTGGTGGTATGATTAACATTATTTTCAGGAATGAAACAAGAAAGGAATCCATGATGAACTAGCCAAATTATTGCAAACATTTGCTCAATTTCCATGAGGATATAATGATTGCACCAGAAATTATCAGACATAACAATCCAATCCACCATTTCTATATTTTCTTGGCCACAACAAACTAACATATAATCATTAACTAGATAAGATCAACTTCAGGTACCTACTAACACGGGTTACTATCTACTAAAAATTCAATTACAGTGTCTACAATTGATATTCAAACTTTCCAAAAAAAAAAAAAAAAAAAAAACCAAAAACAGATGCCCTCTTAATTAAGATGCATCGAACACATTTTTCCAGAGCATTCGTAATCAATCCCCAAACAACTACAAAACTGAAAAGAGAAAAACTGCATAAATATTAAATGTTAAGAAGCGAAGTAACCTGGAGGCAAGACCTTCCAAAGACGTGGATCAATGGCCTCGTCCACGGGATCTCCTTGTCGAGATAGTCGAACCAAGCCCAAGCTCGCTCCGACGGCAAGAATCTCGGAACGAAGACAACTTCGCTGCCGCCTCCGAGATCGGTAATGTATCGCTTTCCGGCCATCTCGCAAGAGCTGGAATTCGGATTAGGGTTATGTTCTGTTGCTGCGAAGCCGCGAAGGGCGAAAGCCATGGCGGGCATAAAAAAAAATGGAGTTTAAAAATATAAAATAGCCAATTATTTTATGGGGGATTTATGTTTTCCGCGAAGGGTTATGTTCTGTTGCTTCCTTCCAATTGTTTTCTTGTAGTGTTTTCTATGGTGCTTTTCTTTTCATCCTCACTTTTATCCTTGCCACTCATGTGTGCAATATTCTTCAATAATTTGTATCCGAGTTAGGCTTTGACATCTTAAGTGAAAAGTAGGAGCAATTACCATTGATGATGAAAATGAGAAGATCAATTAGTTTCGATGGAAAACACTTTGGATATGGGATGATGTAGATCACAGATTACCTATGTCAAATATTGGGTAATGTGGAGACCCAGTCCATTGAAATTTAATTAGCTTCTTAATTAAAAATCTCACCTACCGCTCACCTACTTTCTCACCTACCGCTCACCTATCATATCCCACCTACCTCCCACGTACCGTTCTCATGGTTTCTATAAATAGTCTCTTTTGGCTTAATTGAGAAGTCAAGTCAAGCAAAGTCAAACCAAGTCCTCTAAGTAAGAAAGAGAGAAAGAGAGAGAGAGGGGAAGAGAGAAGATAATTGAGATTTTTTTGTAAACGTCGCTCAACGGTGTAATTCCTCGAAGAAATAAAATTCTCTACAGCTTCGTTGACATAGGCAAATTTGTCAAACCAGATAAATTTTTGTGTCACTCTAGTGTTTTTTTGCGTGCAATTTTTCTCGTTTCATTTTTTCGCTTTATTGTAGTCGTTTTTCATAACAACTGGTATCAAAGCTTGGGTTCGAATCTAAGGAAGAACGATGTGTGGAGACGAAGTAATGACATCGGGGATTGAGAAGTTCAATGACATAGATTTTGTTTACTGGAGGATGCAGATAGAGGACTACCTCTATGAGAAGAAATTTCATCTTTCGTTACTGCGAAAGCGACCAGAAAAGATGGACAAGACGGAATGAAATTTGTCGGATCGACGGGTTCTGGGGGTTATACGATCAATCCTGTCGAGATAGGTTTTCCACAACGTCATCAAGGAGATGGCTACTGCAGATCTCATGACAGCTTTATCAGGTAAGCTTTATCAGGTATGGACGAATAACAACGTGCATCTGATGAAAAAGTTATTCAACTTGAAGATGACGGAAGGTGTGTCTGTTGCTCAACACTTAAATGATTTCAACATTATCATAAATCAGTTGTCGTCTCTTGAAATATATTTTGATGATCCGCGTGTAACATAAATAAAAAACGCTGTTCTCAAAAACGCAGATAAGACGTGATTTTCAAACGCTACGGCGGCGTTTTCAAAAACGCCGCCGCACATTTAAGCTGTCCCAAACGGGGCCTTACATACAATCAACAGATTTTTATGCATTCTAAACTTCTATTTTTACAAACTAATATCCAATTTATCTTTTTCACCCTCGTTAAAAATAAAATTCACATTTCATCCGTTATTAATTTTATAAAAATGAGAGTTTGATTGTGAGATGGTAAATGTATAAAAATTAAGTGTCTGTTTGGGGCAACTGTAGCTGCTCAATTTTTCGGTTGTAATTGTGCTGCACGGAAGAAAATTAAATTAGCATTGAAAAACATTTATTATTTAAATTTTTTTATTTATATCTTTATTTAAAATATAATAATTTTATTATGTTGAATATAAGAAACTTGTTTTTAGAAATCTCCTAATAACTTTTAGTTATTTAAATTTTTTTTATACGAAGTTCTTTTTCTTAAAATAATATAAATAAAATATATATGAAACACACATAAAATAAATATATTTTTTTAAAAATTGTAATAAGAATAATATTATTAATTCCAAACAATACATAAACGTATTTAAAATTTGGGAGATTTATGTAATTTTTTTTATATATATTTATATATCGACAAAATTTGGAGGCTTGCGTGTATGAGAAATTTTAAAAATAGATGTTTAATATGTAAATACATAAAAATTGAGTGACATGCATGTAAATCTTTCATATGAAGCTTCCTGCTTATTCTATCAGTAATTTCTGCTCCTAAAACATCGTCGATTTCGTCGTGTCAAGATCTCGCCGGCCGGCGACGTAGGTAGTTTACCCTGTGGCGACGAACAGCGCTCCGACGGGATCATCTTGGGACCGGGAAGAAATTTAGGTCCGTGTTCATCGCTTATTTTTTGGGGCCCGATATGTCGATCCGATGCTGGAAGCTTAGATCGATATCCGTATGTAGGCTCGGTGAAGAATTTCGTTTGTTGGCCTTTGTATTTGTTTTCTAAGGGTTTTTATAGATCTCTGTCCTTTGTCTCGGATTTGCGAGTACGTTACGGATTCGGAGATGCAGTACAGATCCGGGCAATCGTCCTACCGGGATCGCACGCAGGAGTTTCTCATCACAGCGGACAGGTTGAAAAAGTCGCTGTCTTCTGGGCCAAATGCGCAGAGCAGCAATGCTGCGTCTAAGTTTGAGGGGCCGAAGACGGCGGTCTCAATTCAGTCGGAATTTAACAAGAGGGCTTCAAGAATTGGGCTTGGGATTCACCAGACTTCTCAAAAGCTTGCGAAACTTGCAAAATGTAAGAAACAAATACTGTATGTCTGTTGCTTCTTTTAGTTTATATGCATTTGTCAATTGCATTGTTCTAGGGTGAATTCCGGCAGTAACGTTTTGAAAGATTTACAGAGTTTTTGCGTGTTATAATGAAATCGAGGCAGTCTAAAGCAGCTATGTTTTTGGAGTCGTTACTTTGTAACCAATGTACTTCAAAATTTTCAAAAGGTGACACCTTATTGCCAATTGAGAACACTGCATTCTCGGTAGTACTTATCCAGAACTGTAAGAATCTGTTGGAAGGAAAATAAACATTGTAGGAACGTCATGTTGTGAATAAAAAATGGCAGGATGATAGTAAAACATTTCTATTTTTTTCGATCAATGCTTACATGTTTTGAATGGATTTAAGGGAATTTTTAAAAGCTATTGTGACAGTTTTTTATGGCTTCTATTAGTTATTACATGAGCTCATGGCTGTGATTTCATGAAGGTTTTTTAGGGCATCATTGCGGTGATACTTTGTTGCTTCAATTTGTAAGTGAGTATATTATGATAGTGTGATATACTGATATCCTTAATACATGCTATTATAAGCGAGTAGAATGCTACAATCTTGATATTTGATGGTCAGTCCTTCTTGATGAACATTTTTTGTTTGGGACATTTATATACATAACACAATTCTTATGTATATACATATCTAACACCTAAACATTCATATTTACATAAATACCACTCAAATCCTCACAATCACATCAAAAATACCACTATCACTATCTTTTTAAAAGTGAAATACACATTTTCATGCATATTTTTATGACACCAAGGTGCTATAAGTGTATATATCAAACTTTGGGTGTTAGATATGTGAATAAATAAGAATTGTGCGGCATTTATATAAATTCCCCTTTTGTTTTCATTATATGTAATTCCCTGTTATTTGCTTTGGTAGCTTGGCATCTGACAATTAAAGTCATATGCAAGTCTGCTATAAGTATATGCATTTTTTTTTTTTTTTAAATTTTATAGGGTATATATACAAACTGTTCTTTTGTTTAGAAATTATTTATCGAGCCACTAAAAGTTTAATTTATTTATGAATGATTTTATTGCAATTTCTTAAGTGCAAGGTCACTTTCCTTCAACTTTTTTGTTTTCGCTTTGCCTCTTTGCTTTGTAGCATACTAAAGTGGGCTGGGCCAAGATGGAGGGGGCCATTTCCCTTATCCCTAGAAGGTTGGAGTGTAGGGTGATGAGAGAGGGAGGGGCTGATTGGCCATTTAAAGCCAATCTCTTGGGATTTTGGCCTGCAATGACACATAAATAAGGAGGGAAGGATGTGCAACAGATAGAGGACATAGTAATTGTTTACAGACTTCACTATGCCACTGTGTACATCAACTAGGATATTCTTAGGGAGGTTGTATGCAAGATAGGAATTGATTAATTTAAGCACATCTCATGAAGTTTGGTGCGGATGGACTGCCATTTTTCTATATTTATGAATTAGATATTTAGAAATTAAATTTGACTTGAGAGGGTGGTTGTGTTTGAACTTAATTATTTACTTATCAACTATGTAAAAAAGGGAGGTAGTGTGGAACGAAGAAAGGAAGTATTTGGAGTGAGCCGACAGCACGCCTCTAGGCTAAGCAAGAAAAAAATGCATTGGTCATATGCTAATGGGTCAGATGATTTCTTGGGTGTGTCGGGTGTGTTATATGACTTGGGTGAAGAAGCACACATTTTTGTTTGGGGGATATATATATATATATATACATATCTCTAAATTCTTATCTTTTACATTTCTAACACCTAAATTCTTATATTTATTATATAGCTTGCTAGTGTCTAAATTACATTAAAAAAACATATACATAAAAGATATATTTAATTTTAGTTAAGGTAATACTATTTGCATTTTTTATGTGAATTAGAGATCTTAATGTTATATAAGCATATTTAAAGATTTAGGTATTAGATATATAAATATTAAGAATTCAATCTTTTTTATGTAATTCCCTTCAGCTTTTATTTTTTCTTCACATTCATGTGGGTCTCCGACTATTCTAATTTTTATCCTTCTTGTAAGTTTTACCCTTCTTTTACATCATTTTGTTGTTTTAGTTGCATGTGATCTACTTATTATGTTGTATTTTCTTTCTCTTTTCTCGATATTGTAAACGTTTATAAAACAACCTTCAAATTAGTGATTTCATTTTCCATGTTCAAAATGAATAATTAAGAAACTATTTTATTTTTGACATGTTATTTTTACAAGCAAATGAATGAGCTCTTAGTTGAGATTTCAAACGTGAATTAGATGTTGAAATTATTTTTATGCGGTGTTTAAGGAAGCATAAGATGAAAAAGGTTTGCAAATCATATTAAACATTTTACAAATTATGCAATTGTTGGAAAAGGTTAGATGAAAAGAAGCGAAACATTTTTATTTTTTGGATATCATATGCAAAACATAGAATACTTTCTATTGCACTTTTTCTCCAATAAATTTGCAAACAGAAGCAACCCCTTTTTATCAATTTATGTTTTCTAGCGTTCTTGTCATTGAGCTAAAAACCTGAAGTAAAAGTTTGATTCGCTATTATTTTTTATTCACAAAATTAGGTTTATCATATTTTTGGAATTAGAGGCTTTGTTTCTTTAGTGAGCATTCAAAGTGAAGTTAATCTAGAGGAAATAATAGCTATGGTGTATATTTATGATTAGGATTTGGTCTGGCATCTAGATAAAAATGCCTACTATTATTTATGTTTATGAATTAGATTTGGCGAAGGAAAATATTACTTTGAAGTGTGGAAATAAAAATGCGAGATGTGCGCTCGTTTGGATGATTGATGAAACAGGGCAATATGACTCCTTCAATCATGATATCTTATAGATAACTATATAAGCCCTTTATGTTGCTTTGAAGATAATTTTTCTATCAATGAAGATGTGAGGCAATGATTGGTCAACTAGTGGAATGGGGATTAATACAAGGAATGTAGTTCATACCAGACAAGAGTTGAAATTTCTCATTTGAAATACTATATGACATCATGAATTATCATATCAAAAGATGAAAGTACTATCCATCGATGGATCTAATTACGAAAGCAATTATTTTATGACTCGGGGTCTACGTTGCCATATATTTTTTCTTGTCTAATTTGGTAGGCTATGATTTATTTTATTTTAAAGTATAGATACCTATAAGGAATATTCTAGAGAATTTGGTTCCCTAGAAACACTGTTAAAAACGGATCTCATGTTCCTGCGGATGTAGGAGTTTAGTTTTTACAATTGTTAATTTGAAGTTCAATCGGGATATACTCAACTTTTGGATTATTTTTTTTCAGGGTTGAAAGAAGAAAAGTAGAAAGCATGAGATACTGAGAAACTCAATTGCACTTCAAACTATCCTATAACTAGGCTTTATAACTTCAATTGGGGTTTGATTTTGGTTTCAAGTTATTTATTTTGTTAGATAATTGTGGCTTATATCATGCGATCAAGAAAAAACTCATGTAGAGGTGACTCATTCTGTAGCGAGGAAAACAGTTTGTCGTTTGCCTTAGATTGTAGAACTAATGTAAGCATTACCAATATAGGTAGGAGACTCGAACCTAATCTAAGGATATTCTTTGAGATTTATAGTTTTTAAAATATGTCAAGGTATGAATCAAGCATGACTCTCTTGGACTTATAAATCTGTCTGGAAAGAGCAGCCAGCTAACCCAGTTTTAACTCGAGTCCGGTTAGGGCATGTGGACAAATGCATGAAATACACATTTTTTATTTTAAAATATTAAAAGGGCTGCCTCTCCAAGAGGGGTGTCCATCATCCTCACTATTGGCTAGATGTCTATTTATATATAATGAGTAAACTGCTCAATTTAAGAAAATAAACTGATATGCTAATACAAATGGTGTATTATTGCTAGGATTTCTAATTGATTTATTGGTTGTTTTACTTATGAGTGTTTATTATTTTGTTTCAATTTTACTAATGTTTGTTCAAGTTAATGAAATTATCTAGGAAATATACTTTAACCTATGAGCTTAACAGCTAAAACCAGACTTTTCAAGCACAAGAAATCACAGAAAGAAAACTTAAAAAATCATATATTTCTAATATGCACTACCGATGTAAAAACGAAATACAAACCAATATTTTTCATTAAACAACATGAAACCTAGTTTGGGATCGAGTCAGGTATCTTGGTGGATCTTTTTGTTTGTGTTCTCCATCATCCATAGGAAACTTAAATGAATTGCCCTAAAAGTTATTTTTAGGGCTAGGGCACCAGTCATGGACATGGTTATGCAAATCTAGCTTGTTTTCATTCAATTCTAAATCATGTATTCAATAGTTTGAAGCTTGAAACCTTAAAAGTTTGAATTGTCATATTTGTTTACAGCGCGTTATTTGAATTAATCTAGCCCTCATCAATTATATAGAGTTTCAATCCAAACTGTATTCTTATTTTTTGCGTTTATATTATTTTTATGGATTCCTAGTATACTGTGGGTTATGCGGGCGCTTGATTAGCATAGGAAATATGAAATCATTTTTTATGATGGTTGGTGATATTGATGATAATTGGACAAGTTTTGTAGGTTTTTTTTCACCTATAATTTAGGTTGGAGAAAATCATCAATCTAGGTTCTAATATTGATTCAAAATAAGCTCGTGGGCGGCTATAATGTTTAATATAATTATTATCGTTATAAACATTTTCATAGCCTTTTCTCAATTTTTTGGAGTCTACTTTATACATTTTTATATTTTATTTTTTCGTATGGATTGCACCTTGAGGTGTGATACTTAATTCCTTGCAAATCATTTGAACGACATTTCTCCATAATATCTTACGTCCGCACCTTTTAAATTTTACAACGCTAATTTTATCAACTTGTCTAGTTTGTTATACATAACTTCAAATAACCTAAGTTTTTTTTAATTATTTTTCTTCATAATTAACAATGACATTATCGGGTCCCAAACTCCGGATGTGAAAAGTAGAGGGTTGCGTTAGGTAGTCAACAACCAGCTTAAAACTTGTCAAACAATCTGTGATGCTGAAAATTTTGCTTTTAGTGATTTTTATAATAAATTAGATATTAAGGAGGGTGAAAAATATATATATAAACTAGTCAAATAAGTCAAATAAAGAGAAAAGAAAAGTAAAGATTTAACTTAAGTAAAACATATTAAATATGAAAAAAAAAATTATTTTTCTTAGAAAAAGATATTCAACATAGGTGAGTTATTTTGAAAAATTTTTTAATGAAGTTTCTGAAAATATGATCGACCTTAGTGATTTTAATATCGTTAATAATAATAAAATATTTCATTTTTACTGTCGCATTAGTAAAAAAGAAGTTTAGGAGGCTTTAAAAAAAACCAAGGGTGGAAAGTCTGTAGAATCTGATGATATCCCAATTGAAGTGTGGAAATATATATAAGAGATTTGAGTGTTTCTTTACTAAACACTTTAATATTATTTTAAAAACTAAAAAGATGCCTAAGGAGTAGAGGAATAGTATTTTGGTCCCATTTTTAAGAATAAAGGGAATGCACAAGAGTGTAAATTATAGAGGAATTAAGTTGATATGTCTTACTTTAAAATTATGGGAGAGGGTAATTGAATATAGGTTAAGACGTATTACAAAGATTTCTCGTAATCAGTTTGGATTTATGTCAGTCAGGTCTACTATGAAAGCTATACATTTATTGAGAGGTTTGATGGAGAAGTTTAGAGATAATAAAGAGGATCTACATATGATTTTTTTTTATTTAGAAAAAGCTTTCGATGAGGCTCCAAGAGATATCCTTTGGAGAGTTCTTGAGAAGAAAGGTGTAGATATGACTTATATTCAAGTCATTAAACATATATATATACTAGAGTTGTTACTTGTGTTAGAACAGAAAGAGGATTGGCTAAATATTTTTCTATTTCTATTGGATTACATCAAAGATAGCCTTTAAGCCCATATCTTTTTGTTTTAGTTATGGATGGTCTTACTAGACATTTACAGGAGGTTGTACCTTGGTGTATGCTTTTTGTTGATGATATTCTTCTCGTAGATAAGGCGAAAGAGACAGCTCAGGAGAAAACTTGAATTACGGAGGTCTACATTGGAGTCTAAAGGCCTTCATTTGAGTAGAACTAAAACTGAATACGTGGAATGAATTTTAAGTAGTATTAATTCTAGTGACAGAATTGTAAATATGGGTGATCAAATTATTAAAAGGTGTGAATGCTTTAGATATCTCGGGTCTAGTGTTCAAAGTGATGGTGACATAGATGGGGATGTTATTAGTAGAATTCAATTTGGTTGGTTGAAGTGGACTGGCTGAAGTGGAAGAATGCTTTGGGCCTATTGTGTGATAAAAAAGTACTGCTTAGATTGAAAGGAAAATTTTATAAGATGGTGGTGAGACCTGCAATGTTCTGTGGCGTTGAATGTTGGCCTTTTAAAGAAAAGCATAAAACTAAGTTAAGTTTTGCCAAGAGATTAGGTGGATGGCTTTACACTTGGAGACAAAATGCTAAATGATATATTCTTGATATGGTTGGTGTAGCTCCGGTCACGGACAAAATTAGAAAGAGTCGTCTTAGATGGTTTGGTCACATTTAACGTCGACCGTCTGATGATCCATCCGATTAGGAGATTAGATGTTTTAGATTCGACTTATGTTAAGAAAGACAGTGGTAGACCTAGGAAGACTTGAGCATATTGTATAAAAAATGATCTTAATTTTTCAGAAGTAAATGAAAATATGACACTAACTAGGACGCAATGGAGAAAAAATATTCATGTAGCCGAGATTCTATGTAGTGGACCTCACTTAGTGGGGTAAAGGTTTTGTTGTTGTTGTTGTACTTTATCTTCTTAATATGATCATTGCATTTTTTTCTTCTAATTTTACCATAGCCATTTTAATATTTTGACTTATATTACCCTCAATCTAGCTATCAACAATTTTTTTACCACACATTACTGGATCCATATGACATCATAGGCCTTATTGTAGTATTATATCTAAATTAGTTATCTGATATTATAATATCTCAAAATGTATTTGTCCTGCATTTAATTGGTTGTTATCGCACACAATCTGTATCATTGTAATTTTTAGCATTATATAATTTTGAAGATTTATTTACATACCATTCTTTTCCTATGGATTTACATATCTAATGCTTAAACTTCAATTTTTATATATATATACCACCTTACCTATGAATGAGAAGGTTTGTTTCACTTTTTAAAAGTTAAAATAATAGTATTTTTTTGATGCGATATGAAAATTTTGGATGGTATAAATGTAAAAAGCGAAGTTTGGTACTAGATATATAAATATATAGGAATTGGATAGTATGTAAATGCCCCTATAATTTTTTATGGCAGCATCTTACATCTTTGATCATCACAGTACTTTTTATTAGTTCACAGTCGAGTTCCAGTGTTGAATCTTATGGCTTATCCCTAACCATAACCTCATAAGGTTTCAGTGGCAAAGAGAACATCAGTTTTTGATGACCCGACTGTCGAAATACAAGAACTAACGTCAATCATTAAGGAGGATATCACCGCTCTAAACTCCTCAGTGGTGGACCTGCAACTTTTATGTAATTCACAAAATGAATCTGGAAATATTTCCAGTGATACAACTACCCATTCTACCACTGTTGTTGACAACTTGAAGAACCGCTTGATGAGCACCACAAAGGAGTTTAAGGAAGTTCTAACTATGCGGACAGAGGTGGGTCTGAGAAATCCAGCTTGATTATTGCTCATTAGTTCTCAATCTTTTGACAATTATGCTAAATACTTTACAAAATGCCTTAAAAGCTTATCAATAAATCTTCGAGTTTGTAGAACTTGAAGATTCATGAAAATAGGCGACAAATATTCTCTTCTTCTACTTCGAAGGATTCTACAAATCCTTTTGTTCGGCAAAGACCACTGATTTCGAGGACCACATCAGACTCAGCCGCACCACCGGCACCATGGGCAAAGGACTCGGCTTCTTCTTCCCAGTTGTTTCCCGGGTAATTTATGAAATTAATAGTGATTACTAAATGAGAAGGCTTAGGCAGTGTGTTTGGTCGTAATGATTTTGTATAAGATATTAGAGGAGTATAGTGTCAAAATAGTCCTCTGACTGTTTAAATATGGCCATTTTATAGTTCTGCCTTCTATAAAATTATAAAATTAGATAATTATTTGAGCTCATATTAAAAGAGTCCAAGGACTAAATTAACACTTCAATAGATTATGGGACTAACATGACATCCTACAACAAATCAAGGGGCTACAACAAATCAAGTTATATGTTTCTATGTAATTTTTGTACTGTTTATGCTGGATTATACTCATTTTTCTGAAGTTACTTGATATAAAAAACTGCTTTGGTTATTTCTGATGGAAATTCTGCACTTTTAAGTTTCGAAGTTAGTTATTATGTTATTTATGGTGATAAATAGAGAAAATCTTTTTTCAAACACCAAGAGCAAGTAAGAGGAATTGAAAATAAAAAGAGAAGAATTGCATGCAAAATTATATGAAAGTTATATTCATATTCACCTAATTGATGATTATGCTCTGTTGTCACACAGCTGTAGATTTTACCATAATTTGGCTGTGGAGAAAATACAATCAAAAATTTTCTTTTACGACATAATATGGTCTCCCTTCCTTTTTATAATGAAAAAAAAGAGGCATTTAGATGCATACCACCCAATTCATATGAATTTACATATCTAACACCTAAACTTTTTTTTGACATTTATACCGCCCAAATCTTTCATATCACATAAAAAATACCACCATTTTAGCTGTTAAAAAGTGAAATACACTTCTTCATGCATGGGTATGATGGCATGTTTGCAGAAATTGAAGTTTTGATGAGTGGTATGTAACTTTTTTCCCAAATAAAAAAATATATATATATTTGTTTTGATTTACTGCAGTGATCTCGTTTCTTTATGAGGCAAAAACTAAGCTCCACAAATCAAACTATTTATGTATAATGTAGATTTTAATTTATTATATGCCAGTAATAGCATGTAAGATTATTTTTTTCTTCCACTTTTCCGCGTAAATTTTTCAGAAAGATGGTAAATGGTGATCCATCATCATCAACTCAGCCTTTGCTGCATCAACAGCAGCTGCATATGGTTCCTGTACAGGACAGCTACATGACCAGCAGAGCCGAAGCCCTCCAAAACGTTGAATCTACCATTCATGAGCTAAGCAACATCTTCACTCAGTTGGCCACCATGGTTTCTCAGCAAGGAGAGCTTGCTATCAGGTTTTTACCTAACAATTTCTTTTCATGAGAATGAGTTCACAGATTTCTATAAAATTTTGGAAGATTTACAGTCATACCGCTCAATTCCTATGTATTTACATGCATACCACCTTATGCATAAAAAAGTGCATTTCACCATTTAAAAGTTAAAATGGTGATTTTTTATGTAATATGAAAGGTTTGGGTGGTGTAAATGTAAAAAACAATGTTTGTATTAGATATGTAACTACATAGGAATTGGGTGGTATGTCTGTAAATGCCCCTAATATTTTGATTTCCATATGTTTCTCAGGATTGATGAGAATATGGACGACACATTAGCGAACGTTGAAGGCGCGCAGGGCCAACTGCTCAAGTACCTCAACAGCATTTCCTCTAACAGGTGGCTAATGATGAAGATATTCTTTGTACTCATAGTTTTTCTCATGATCTTCGTATTCTTTGTGGCATGATTCCGTGCTTAGGTTCCTTATTCTGGCCCTTCATTTGCTATTTGCAGATTATATGTAATTTTATCTTCCTTGGAATTGTTGGTATGTTCCTTCTTCAATGTTGTTTATGTTGCTTTTTCATACATAGGTTTTGTATATAGTTTCATGAGGCTGCTTATTTATGTAAACATTTAAGAAATGCATGTGTCCATCAGCCTGGTTCTTAGATGGCTTAGTTTTTCTTTTTTATCATACATTGTTGAGCAATAAATCATAGAGAAATAACGTTTTTCAACCATTAAAGTCGCCTTCCTTCATGATTTAGACGTTCTTAAAGGCACTGATGATTATTATTGTGCTTAATATAGATTAATACTATGCTATTGTTAGTGACTATTAATTTTGAAAATAAAATTGATTATATTACTGTGAGATTTTTTTAATGGAGATTGGCTCCTAAAGCACTATAAACATCGAATATTATATATTTACTATCAAATATTTAAATGTTACATAACCTAGCGCTCTATTAATGGGATTAACAAATATTGATGTTACTATGGTTAACCGATTCTAATAATCCCTGTGCGCCTTAATCTTTTATTTTTAGGAATGATTATTATAATGCTGTGTCTAACAAGACACATTTTTCATGTTTGGGTTGTGTTTTGTTTGCATCTCCGGGTCTGTAACTTTGTAACATAGTTTTTATCACGAAGTGACGGCTGGTTATTTGCCATCATCATGGGTAAGAGTGTTAAGGAAATAATATGAAAGGAAATATACATATCAACTGATATCTCTAATAATCAATTCATATTAATTATTAGGAGATATATTAAATAACATAAAATAAGAAAATAAATAATTCATAATTCAAAAAAATAAATATAAAATAAGAAAGAAAATATCTCTTTAATCTAATTAAATAATTTATTCCTCCTTAAGAATTATTTTCAATTATAATTCCTAAGAGTTAGATTTACATACATACCACTCACTTCTTATGTATTTACATTTCTAGCACGGAAGTTTCAAATTTTACATATGCTCTATGTAGTATTTTGATATGAAATGAAAGATTTTGATGATATAAATGTCAAAAGTAAAATCTAGGTGTTTGTTATGTAAATGCATAAGATTTGAGTTTTACTATATATATATATATATCTAAAATAGTTTGCATGATTATAATTTTAATATTTTACAATTGTATCAAACAATTCAGTGGTAAATGGGGAGGATTTCAATCCCTATATAAAGGTAATAATGTTTATGTATTTACATATCTAACATCTAAATTTCCATATTTACACACCTAACACTTCATAAACAAAAAATATCATCATTTTTAATTTGCTACATCAAAATATTGTAATTGTAAAAAACACGTTTAGATGTTAGATATGTAAATAATGTTGAAAAGCATGCGAAATGTCGAGGGAGGGCAGAGATGGCGGCCGCCCTTCGACTTTCGATCCTCCGCTACATCCGACTCCCCGTCCAGTCTCTGGATCGATTCCGGCTAGAGTCGCCGTCACGGAATCCCTTCCTTAGTTGCAACCGATTCCTCTCCTCCCATGGGGAGGAGCATCTCGACCGCGAGGAGGTCGTCGAGCGCGTCCTCGCCGTCGTCAAGAGTTTCCCCAAACTCGATCCCTCTAAGGTCCTCCTTCGAAACCCTAACTCATCCCGATCTCACCTCTAGCTATTCTGTTTGATTTGCTACGGTAATTGGTTACAGGTAGGCACGGATTCCCACTTTCAGAAGGATCTGGGACTGGACAGCCTTGACAACGTCGAGATAGTGATGGCGCTCGAGGAGGAATTCAAGCTCGAGATTCCCGACAATGAGGCCGACAAGATTGACTCCTGCAGCGTTGCTATTGAGTACATCTTTCACCATCCCATGTCTGGCTAATTGCTAGGTTTTTAGTTGGGAAGTATGAAGAAGTACAACATGCTTGTGTTATTGCTGAATCTAGTGTTTAGCTGCAACCGCACAAGGGTTGGTTTATTTTAAGAATGTGAATCTCTTCTTGATATTCAACACAGGAGGAGATATTGAATAATGTCATTTTGTCAAGAGTGCTCTCTTTGAGCTTAAGAAAATACTTTTAAAGTTGTTGATTTTGTTGAAACTTCTTTCTGATTCCTCTCTTGGTTTGTTATAATTCAGAATTTTGACACTATGTTTCTGTAATCTTTTTTCTAGCCTCCATATTCTGCCTTCATGCTATCTGCAATGTCATGCTGCTACACTTTGGTATAATTCTTTTCTTTTTTTATTATTATTTTTTTGTTGGCTATGTATATCAGCTTTCATTATGTGAAACCTGAATTTCTGATCTTAAACAAAATTAAAATGGCTCATCATCTCAAATTCATGTTATTTTTAAACTTTTTTTGTGCTGATCCAATATGTCTGGTATTATTATGCCGTCCGTCAGTTAGTCTTAGCTGACGAGCCTTGTTTCAGTTTCTATTTCATCATCGTTGTAGTTATCTTTACTGATGTGCGGGACGATATCATCATCTCTTTTTCCATATGCTTATTATTAGGATTTTGCTGAACCCTTTTATTTTCTCTGGGATCTATTTATGGGAAACCATTGCAAATTGAAGCTGCTATTGCCATCTTTCATAGGTGGCCAAGAGTTTGGGGGAAATATATGTTACCTCTCATCTTCATAAGAATGTGTAGATTGGTACATCATCTCGTGCTTTCTTGCAGAGTGTTAAAATTGAAGGCATCTTCCAACACTATTCTTTATGTAAAATCTTTGGCCGCATTCACTTTGATTGCTTCTAGGCCAATTTCAAGCTAAGAAAAACAAATTTTCGGGATCATGATGCGCACTCAAAACTTCATAGCACCCCTTCTGCTCTAGTGATTGTTGTTTCTTCATCAATTGAGGTTTGTTCTAACTTTTTGGCATCAATTAATACTTTGCGCACTGCATGTGTGCCTATCTTTGCAATCTCTTAATTTCAGCATTCATAACTTTTATAATCTTTGTGGGATTTACATTTGTATCATACAATTCTCATATATTTGTATATCTAACACTTTAATTTTGATATTGACATATATAACACCCAAATATTTAACGTCACATCAAAGAAGCCACTAATATTAATTTTTCTAAAGTGAAATATACATTTTTATACATATATTTTGATGTGATTGTAACACTGCAATGTTCTGCAAGTAAATAGCAAAGTTTAGGTATTTGATATGTTAATAGATAAGACTGTTGTGTATGTAGATCCCTCTTAGTTTTAATATTGTTCCTCTTGTTTTGGAAATTCCTTTCTCTCCTATTGGTAAAACAAACATAAACTCTTAATTCAATTTATGATCCTGATCCTGATCCTGATGGGAGCATGCTGACTGACGGTGTATTTATGAATGGGAGCTTTTGTCTACCATTTTTTAGAGGTGGCCAAAATATGAAAAAGAAATCACGAGTCTCTGCTTTTCATCAAGTTTCAAGTTAGGTGGGTTAAGATGGTATCTTTATTTTGTTTTAATTTTTCTTTTTTCTCTAGAAAATCTTACTGATTGCTTTTATTATACTCTTTATCATTTTCTTGTTATAAAGATGTGCTTACAAAAAATTTGAAATTTGGTCGTATTTCTTCAAATTTGCCACAACTTTCATCCTGTTAAATTCTAGCAGGTCAAAATAGTTGCCTAAATTCCATCCATTAAATCTCAAAACTATTTGTTGTGCCCACTATCTTTCTTTGTTATGTAAAAGTCAACTTATTGTCGAAGAAATGATAAAGATGTATCAAGAGTTCTGACGCGGCATTGGTTTTTTTGGAGCTTTTAGTTGTCACTCTCCTATTCCGAAAGACAGTATATCTGGTAATAAAATGCGTGACGAATATATATATTAAGGCTTTGTTGTTGTTGTTTTTATTTTATAATTGAAGGAGAGAATGAACTAGAGAGTTAAGAGTAAGAGGAATATTCTTTTTCTATCTTTTACACATCTTTGGACTGGTGGAAAGTATCTCTGTGGACACAAGAACAATTAGCCAAACCATAAATTGTTTTCTTGTAGTGTTTTCTATGGTGCTTTTCTTTTCATCCTCACTTTTATCCTTGCCACTCATGTGTGCAATATTCTTCAATAATTTGTATCCGAGTTAGGCTTTGACATCTTAAGTGAAAAGTAGGAGCAATTACCATTGATGATGAAAATGAGAAGATCAATTAGTTTCGATGGAAAACACTTTGGATATGGGATGATGTAGATCACAGATTACCTATGTCAAATGTTGGGTAATGTGGAGACTCAGTCCACCGAAATTTAATTAGTTTTCTAGTTAAGAATCTCACCTACCGCTACCTACCGCTCACCTACTTTCCCATCCTTTCCCCCCTACCACATCCCACCTGCCCCTCACCTACCTCCTACCTACCGTTCTCATGATTTCTATAAATAGCCTCTTTTGGCTTAAATGAGAAGTCAAGCCAAGCAAGGTCAAGTCAAGTCCTTAAGAAAGACAGAAAGAAAGAGAGAGAGAGGGGAAGAGAGAGAATAAAATTGAGATTTTTTTGTAAACATCGAGGCACTCGACGGTGTAATTCCTCAAAGAAATAAAATCCTCTACAGCTCCGTGGACGTAGGCAAATTTGCCGAACCAGGTAAATCTTTGTGTCGCTCTGATGTTTTTCTCTGTGCAATTTTTCTCGTTCTGTTTTTCGTTTTATTGTCATCGTTTTTCATAACAACTGGTATCAGAGCTTGGGTTCGAATCTAACTTGGGTTCGAATCTAAGGGTTCGAATCTAAGGAAGAACGATGTGTGGAGACGAATTGATGACATCGGGGATTGAAAAATTCAATGACACAGATTTTGTTTACTGGATAATGCAGATAGAGGACTACCTCTATGGAAGAAACTTCATCTTCCGTTACTGTGAAAGCGAACAGAAAAGATGGACGAGGCGGAATGAAATTTGTCGGATCGACAGGTTCTGGGGGTTATACGATTAATCCTGTCGAGATTGGTTTTCTACAACGTCATTAAGGAGAAGACTACTGCAGATCTCATGGCGGCTTTATCAGGTATGTATGAAAAGTCATCGACAAATAACAAGGTGCATCTGACGAAAAAGTTATTCAACTTGAAGATGACGGAAGGTGCGTCTGTTGCTCAACACCTAAATGATTTCAACACTATCACAAATCAGTTATCGTCTGTTGAAATTGATTTTGATGATGAGATACGTGCGGTGATATTGTTGACTTCATTGTCAAATAGTTGGGAAGCCATGAGGATGACAGCTAGCAGTTCTGCAGGTAAATCTAAGCTGAAAGGTAAATCTAAGCTGAAATATAGCTGAAATATGCTGGTATTCGTGATTTGATTTTGGCTGAGGATATGTGCAGGAAGAATTCTGGCGAGGCCTCGTGTTCAAGTTCGGCACTGAATGTTGATTTCAGATGGAGATCACATGACAAGAACTCAGACAGAGGAAGATCAAAATCAAAGTCTGGTCAGCATGCAACATGTTGGAATTGTGGAAAGACTGACTACATAAAAAAGAACTGCAGGAATCCGAAAAAGAAGCAGAATGATGGCGCTAATGTTGTAATTGAAGAAATATATGATGTGTTATTGCTGGCAGTTCACACATCATCTCTGTTGGGCAGCTCAATGAGGGTGGTCATTCGGTAGCGTTCTCAGATAGCACCTGGAAGCTTATCAAAGGAACATTAGTACTGGCTTAGGGTAAGAAATTTACACACTATATATGACTGCAGGTTTACTCAGGCGTGAACACATGAGTCAGAGGTGCATTATGGGGAAGCAGAAGAAGGTCAATTTCTTAAAAGTGGTAGAGCGTCAAAGGCAGGAAAACTGGACCATGTACAGACAAATGGTGGAGAACCACAGAGTTATGAAGAAATATTGCAAGATAAGAATTTGAGCAAGTGGGAGCTGACCAAGAAGGAGGAAACGTATTCCCTGTCAGGGAATCAGACTTGGGAGCTGGCAGAACTTTCACCAAGGAAGAAGACATTGCACAACAAGTGGGTGTACCGGGTGAAGACTGTGTTTGGTGGCAGTAAGAGGTACAAAGCTGGACTTGTTGAAAAGGGCTTTCAACAAGGGCGGGATGTTGCTCATGTAGTGGGAGTTATAAGCATATACAAGAGTAACCCAGGAAATAGTTTGGTGGTACAAGACTACGTTGACGGTGATATGTCAACTTAGGGTGTTACTCGTGAGAAGTTGAAGTTGTCTTCTGGCATGAAAACAGGAGTTTCGAGTTGCAGGGTGGAGGATATCATGTTTGAGGAAAAATGTCGGTACAACTAATAGATGATGCAGTCAGTAGGTGATACAGTCAGTTTCTCAGTCTCCAAGTGGGAGAATTATTGGGTAAGTGGAGACCCGGTCCACCGAAATTTAATTAGTTTTATAATTAAGAATCTCACCTACCGCTCACCTACTTTCTCACCTACCGCTCACCTACCACATCCCACCTACCTATCACATCCCAAAAGAGCTCTTCAGGGTGGTGGGCAGCTCAGGACTTAAATACTATTTTTCGGCCCTAAACCTAGCCGATGTGAGACTATTTGTCTGTGACATTCCTCCACCCAATCACGTGATGCTCTCGTCACGGATCAGCTCCACCGAGGATCCCACTGGACCATGGAGAGTTCACACACTTGGCTGGCAGCAATTGGCTCTGATACTACTTATCACCTCCCAAAAGAGCTCTTCAGGGTGGTGGGCAGCCCAGGACTTAAATATTTTTTTTCGGCCCTACACCTAGCCGATGTGGGACTATTTGTCCGTGACACCCTCGTCATGGATCGGCTCCACCGAGGGTCCCACTGGACCATGGAGAGTCCACACACTTGCAAGGCAACAATCAACTCTCATACCACTTGTCATCTCCCAAAAGAGCTCTTTAGGGTGGTGGACAGCCCAGGACTTAAATATTATTTTTCGGCCCTACACCTAGTCGATGTGGGACTATTTGTCTGTGACATACCGCTCACCTATCTCCCACCTACCGCTCTCATGGTTTCTATTAATAGCCTATTTTGTCTTAAATGAGAAGTCAAGTCAAGCAAGGTCAAGTCAAGTCCTCTAAGAGAGAAAGAGAGGAAGAGAGAGAGAAGAAGTGAGAGAAGAAAATAGAGATTTTCTTGTAAATGTTGAGGCGCTCGACGGTGTAATTCCTCGAAGAAATAAAATTCTCTGCAGCTCCGTGGATGTAGTCAAATTTGTCAAACCACGTAAATCTCTCTGTCGCTCTGGTATTTTTCTGCGTGTAATTTTTGTCATTTCATTTTTCGCTTTATTGTCATCGTTTTTCACAACACAAAAAAATAAAAATAAAAAATAAAAAAAAAATCATAGTTGATAATTGTAAGATGATTAGGATCTCTCAAGCAAATAGGCGTTGGAGTTTTATTATGGATATTGATTAAGAGTACTACTATCAATATATTGCAAGAGGATATCACAACTGGAATGATGAAAGCTTTATTAGATGTGTATGAGAAGCCCTTTGGGGGTGAATAAGTATATCTAATCAGAAATTTCTTTAGCTTGGGATGATGGAAGGTGATGGTAGAATGTGCTTCAATAATTAAGCATGTCAACAAATTCAATTTGATCATAAGTTTGTTGACTTCGATTGTTTGCAACGTCAACAATAAAGCTCTTGCATTGTACTTGTCAATGTTGCTTCCAGAGAGCTAGCTTGTAATGGTCAACTATTCTTGTATGTCTACAAAATTGAAAGTCATTATTGTCCAATATTTCATCTTTCAGTAAGAGCTTCCAAAGATGAGAATCCATTGAAGATTTGTGCCATTTTACTTCTTTTTAGCATCATCATAATATTAAATTCCTGAAAGGAGATTTTGCAGTTTGATTTCAACAATATTCAAATCAAATGGAAGAAGATGTGGATATTGCCAAAGAAGATATTTATGATGCAATAATATTTGAATGTTGGACTTATGTGCATCTTTTCACTTTACATAAAAAAATTTAAATATAACTTTTATGCTAGAGATTGTGAGTTGATTATGAGATACTGAGGATTATGAGACTTGATGCTTCCAAAAATGTAAACGGGATTATGTGAAAGCTTCATAAGGTGCAACATATTTTATTATGCTTGAAGAGGAATTTGATTTCTATTTGGCAGTTAAATGAGGGATAGTTTTATTGCTTTTATGGATAGTTGGACGGTGACACTAAAGGTTGTATTGTTGTTGCATTATGATATGAGGATGATTCTCTACATATAATTTCAAACATTGGAACTGTGGGAATTATTGTAGAATATGGACTCAAATTATGCCTCTTAACAGATTCGACGATAGATAGGACATTCGAGTGAAAATGTAATGAATGAATGAAAGGAATTCAAGAGTCAACAGCTTGAACGTGTACATACTAATGTTTAGGAGGCAATCCTAATTGCATCCTCAATGGCTCATTATCCTACTTTTTTTTCATTGATAACTCCAAAAAGTATGCATTTATCTTTTGAAGAAGTTTTTGTGTAGTCTTTTTTTATTTAATTTTATTTTAGGAGAGTTTTGATGGAGAATTATAATGCCCCGTTATGTGCATTGGCATTAGGGAATAATGCGCCATTACATGGGCTCAGGCTGCCTATTATTGGAAATATAAGTTAAGTATATGTTTTTGAAATTGTGTTGAAAAGCCACACTGCATTATTCCCTTTGATTCAGCAAAGGCGCCATGAAACCGACCAAGGTTGGTGTGACTTCCACATAGACGCCGAATCCACCTTGCAATTGTGCCCTAAAATGCGATGAAGCCAAAGAGGAAGTGGGCGTTTGCGATTAATAGTTGTTGTCTTTGTTTTGTGATTATGGTATAGATGCGGGCGATGAGCTTCCATGCAAAGTGGAAGCATTTGGAAATAAAATTATAGCATAACCAATTAGGGATTTAAGCAGTTTAACTTAGTTACTTGTAAACACATGTTTGGTTTCTCTTATTATTATTTTCATTATTCTGGACACATGGATGGTGTGCCTAGCATGTCCGGGGCATGTCGCAAGCATGCCCATATTCTAAAAGACACTGCATATTGTGTGATTCAGAATGATAATGTTAGAATAACAAGGTTGCATGTTGGATTGTTCCAGGCTTTCTGGGTGGATTCCATGAATATTATGTTTTATTTTTATCAAAAAAGGATCCATGATTCCATTGAGTTATAAGCTACTTGATGAGTGTGAATGTAAAGGTTTTTGGATGTTGAATCTATTGGGTACCATTTAATTAGTTATAAAATCGATAGCCTTGGATATTTGTTTTGGGATATCAAAATTGAAAGATCATTGGGAGTTGGGACTAGTCTAGTGAGGGATCAAAATTGAAGGATCATTGGGAGTGGAACTTTGATGCAATATATCGATTGTCATATGATTGTTAAGGTATTATCCATCTCACAGGAACAATTTTTTCTTAAGTGTAATAATCAATATTTACTGTATATTATTGTAAATTTATTCAAGTGCAATGATTGGTGGGTTTAGATTAATCTGGTTTTATTTATGAAGTGGTAAATCATATTCACTTTTATTTTTTCCTTAAATCACATTTTACAATCATCTGACAACTATTGGAAATCAGTGGTTTCTTAATTTAGATTGGAAGATTTACATGCATACCACTCAATTCCTATACATTCACATATATAACACCTAAATTTCAATTTTTACATGTATACCTACTTTCTTATCTATAAAACTGGATTTTGGAGGGCAAGTGGTTATGGTGCAGTTCAATTGCATTCCTTTTATCACGAGTCATTGTAATGCATGCAGAAGAGTTTGACATTATACCTTTAACAAGGAAAATAATTCTGAGTTTTCTTGATCAAAGATTTGAGTGGTGTAAATAGACAAAATAAAATTTTAAGTGTTAGATATGTAAACGCTTAAGAATTAGGAGCTATGTACGTAAATGCTCCTTCATATTATAGTATTATGAGGCATAATTTACATAAGTTGTATACAATTCTTATGTATTTACATGTCTTACGCTTAAATTTTTATATTTATATGCAGAAAACTTAAATCTTTAATATCACATAAAAAAAAATGATACTATTATCACTTTTTTTAAAATTAAGATACATACTTTGGTGTTAGGTTAAGCACCAATGAATGTAAATATGAGAATTTAGGTGCAAGATATGCAAATGCAAAGGCAAATGGTATGGAGACCATCCATGGCTTCCTCTATTCGTAACCAAATTGATTAAAAAAATTTATAGTAAATAAAGTATTGATTACAATCCCAGCCCACTTTCCTGCAAACAACAAACCCATCAGCAAAGTAATTACAAAATCGGGCATTTATATGCATACCACACAATTCTCAGATATTTACATACCTAATATCTATACATTCATATTTACATACATAACACTCGAATCTTGACATCACATCAAAAATACCACAATCTCCTAACTTCTTAAAGCGAAATACACTTTTACATGCATAACCTTTAATAATATCAAAGTGCTACAAATCTAAAATATCAAAGTATAGGTGGTTAGATAAAAAAAATGCATAAGAATTGTGTGGCATGTCTGTAAAATTCCCAACTATATATATATATATATATATAAAACAGTGAATATAACATCATCCTACATACTGATAATCGAAGAAACAATACAGAACAGATTGAAGTGAGTTATCAAAATTCTAACAATATAAAGTATGAGGGTAAGTTATGAATTAAAAATGAAAATTAGTTAGCACGCAGAAGCAACTGAATCTCACATCTCACCGCACTCTGATACAACACACGCCAGCTTTGGCCTACTGTTGGGTGCGGTGGCCACATTTTCTATCTTCCTCACCACCAAAAGCCCTTCTCCCAAGACCCTCTGCATCACATTGCAAGCAAAAACAGCAATTTCAAGATTTTTTCTTTATTATTTTCAAAAGTAATTAGCATAATATGGGAGGATTTGACCAAGGGTGGTCATTTAGATGCTATAGAAGGTGGGAAATATGTAAGTGTAAATAAAATCTTCACTATTTTGCATTTTTTGTTAAGAATGTAAGAACCTGCTTTATTATTGACATAGCTAATTTTCCAGCATATTATCCATGTTATTTGAAAGAAAGTATGGTTTAACTTACCCCAAACACGACATGCTTGTTGTCTAACCAGTCACACTTTGCGCAGGTTATAAAAAACTGCAAATTGCAACAAGATCCACTAAAAATTAGACAATAACTAAAGTATTATTAGCAGAAATGAAATAGCAGCTTGACATATTTCTGTCAAGCAAGACAAAATGGTTTTAGCAACAGAGCCTGTTTCGGTATCAATTTTGCTTTTTGTTTTTTTCTTTTTTTATATATTTATTTGGTATGTTTTTCATGTAGTTTTCTTTAAACAAATCAAAATATTTTAAAAACACAAAGAGCAACTAAAAGTTGTTTATGGTGTTTTTAAAAGTAAGTTGATTTGTTTTAAACATGACAAACATGTTGTTGCTTCAAATCAAAACATAAACAAAACAACCAATAACGCAAAATAGAAAACTAAAAACGAAAACAATCGGAAAATGTGTTTACATATATAACACCTAAACTTTACTATATGCATTTATACCACCCTAATTTTCATATCACATCAAAAAATACTATTTTAACATTTAAAAAGTAAAATACACCTTTTCATGCATAGATAACACGGCATGTACGTAAAAACTGAAGAATAGGTGTTAGGTATGTAAATAAATAAGAACCGAGTGGTATGTATGTAAATATTCCAACCAAATTATAAGATTGAAAGGCTTTAAGCAACATGGATGATTGGAATGTAAAAAAAAGTAATGAAAGATTGTAATTTTAAAAGCTGTTGTATATTTTCAAAACAAAAAAAAGGCTGTTGTAAGGCATTTAAGCTTTTAAAAGGACTATATCTTGAATTTCTATTACTGCACATGCCTATAAGAATATTTCCTTCATATAAATTTAAAAAAAGAAAACATTCTATAAAGAGAATTGATAGTACCTGACAACCATTAGTGTTTGGTCCACTATTAGCCTGTGAAAATAGAGAAAAATTGATTGCTGTTAGCTTTGAATAATATAACACGGGCACCATTAACAAGCTACGCAAAAATGTAGGCTGATAAAAGGGTAAACAAAAATTATGCAATTCAGGCTGATAAGCTTAAAAATGAAACCATTATGCATCTGTATGTAACATCCAAAAATAAATCAAACATTCCTCCTTCCTAAAGGTTTCTAATTCTTGATAGTACCTCAAAAGCCTTCTCCTAAAGAAATGTTTTCCTGAATGCAGTTTTTCACTCCTGAGATGCATATCTGGACACGTGCACGCTTGATTTTGAGATCAACAACAACAATAATAACAAGACTTTATCCCACAAAGTACGAAATATCGATTAATACAGTTCATATGATCTCAAAGCCACGTGATTGGTTTTGAGATCATATGAACTATATTAACTGATATTTCATACTTCATTTTGTCTCTAGAATCATGAAAATTCAGCTTGTCAGTCTCTCTGCTTGAATGGGACAAGAACATGGACAAAAAAATCAGCAATATCATATTGATCGTGTTCACAATGCATCAAATTCCAACGGTTTTCATCTTGGAGAAGTGAAGCAAAAGATAAATGACGTGAAAATCAAAGCTATCATTCCGAAAAGTTGCCAAGCTTAGAGAAATAAGAATGACACGGTAAAAAAAGATATATCTGGAAAAAAAAAATTTTATTTAAGGAAATGTCACTTTAAATTGGGTCTTTGGAAGAAGATAGTTCCCCAATGTTCAAAATTCAAAATTGTGAAGCAATGCACATTGACCTTATCAATACAAAATAAAGGCTTAAAAATTGTGAAGGCTAGGATTCATACTATGTATTTGCTTACAAATTGCTGAATTCAAAGATTGCAATGTGATGTGAAAATTAAAATATAATTAATTTGGAAACATAAACGTACACGATGAAATAATTAATAAAAAAATAAACTTGCTGCAAGTACATGTGATGATAGATTTAATTATATATATATCTAGCATAAACAACAGTTCAACAAAATTATGCTCGCCTATTTCGTGATACTTATATTTGTCAGGTAACAGCATGAAAATATTAGTCCACCTGAAGAAATTAAAATGAAAAAAAAAAACTACATTGTATTCATATTTAATTTAAAAATAAATATAAGAATATTTAATTCCGTTAAGAGCCATATATTTAATTTATCCAACAACAACAAATAATCTATATTGAAAATCTATGCTTAAGAAGCAATCACGTGTCTGGTTAGAATTATAATGAAAGAAAGAAAAAATAATGAGTGTCATATGTTTTATAATAGGGAAAATTACATACATAACAACCAATTCTTATGGATTTACCCATCTCATACCCAAAGTTTCATTTTTACACACATAACACTTCACCTATGAATGAAAAGATGGATTTAACTATTAAAATGTGATAATGAGTGCTACTTTTCATATGATGTTTGAAATTATGAAAGTTTTGGAGTAAGATAGGTTAAAATGAAAGTTTTGGGTGCTATGTAATTAAAAGCCCCTTTATAATAAAAGAGAGCAAACGTTATTGATACTTGTAGATGAGTGTAACATAAGTTATAATTTGAGGGAGCAATGGGATGGATTTGGATTTTTAAAGTATTTTAAATAAACTGTAAATTAAAATAAAATAAAATAAAATAAACTTGTAATACTTTACTTACGGCGGTGTCAACGGCAAATGGCAATTGCCGACAATGGAGGAGGTAGCAGATAATGGCGTCAAAAAGTAATGGATGATAGTGATAGCAAGCGGCAAGTAGCGTTGAGTGGTGATGATGGCAGCAAGTAGCGGCAGGCATTGATGGGCAGTTGAGGTGGTTGGGAAGAAGGCGGTGCCTACGTTTACCTCCATCTTTCAAAACCCACGCCTCAATTAATCGAGTATTGGCTTTTGAATCTAAACATTTTGATACCCCTGCGTGGATTTCTAGTTGAGACTATTGTGGGCTTCTTGAAATTATTTAATTGAGCCGTTAATAGAAAACATTAAATTATGGACTCGAAGACATTCATTAAAAAAAATTAAAAATTAAAATAAAACTTAAAAGATCTTTTTTTTATTATTATTATTAAAGCCCCATAAGTTACAATCTTTATTCCTACCCCATCTCTCAATCCTACTCGCAAAAATCTACGCAGAGTCACAATTAATGCATAGCCTCAATTAGCAAGTAGCCTGCCACAAATCACAACTCACAAAACTATTCCCGTTCAAAGAATAGTCGTTGACGGAAAAGTTTTTTCAACTAAACAGTTTGTTTGCCTCCCTTCACCAACTTTATTGTCACCCTTCCAACCGATAATTGATTGTAGATCTGCAAAAAGCTTTCGCCACCCTTCAACCAAAAAAATTTTTATGTGGCTTTGATACATGTCACTCAAAGAATGATTGTTCTATAATTTTTTTATTAGAATATTTTAATTAATGATTTTATCATTAAATATTTAAGATTTTTTTTTAATGTTCTACTAGAACTTTATGGACTAAATGGAGAAAAAAGAATCTTATAGCCGTCCTCACTTAGCAAGATAAAGCCTTCTTGTTGTTGTTGTTTTTTCTACTAGAAGTTTGGAAGAAAAAACAAGGTGAAAGTTGGTCACGAAAAAAAGATATTGCTAGAAAGTATAAGACTCAAGTTGAATTAGATACATGATACAAAGAAGGTAAAGAGAGGCTACATATATTTAATATAATTTTTGTGTCAAAATTAACACAAGTGTAAAGACTAGAGGAACATTGTTCTCAAACTCATAAGAATGTGAGCCTATTTAAAAATGTTTCAAAATGAAGTTAACAAAAGATATCAAATTATTTGAATGTTTTTGTAATGGCAAAGCACCAAAAACAATAATATATGGATGAAATTATTAATAATAAATCATAATTTCATTCTTTCCATTCTAGTCCTAATAATAAGCTTACTTGGTACTGGTAATGCATTTACTTTCATTGAAGGAATTTGAGATCCTATGAACAAATTTATTGGTGATTTGGATCCTATTGCTAAAGAAAAGAATCAAAAGTATCCCAAAGTGTCCTCTAAATAGCCTCAGAATCAAGTTTGTATGGATAATAAAAAAAAATTTATGAGAATGAAATTTTTTTTAAGGTTAAGAGGAGTCCATCCTCACTAAGGCAAGTTTTATTGGGAACTATAGTTGAGGATTGAATACTCCAAAGCATGTATAAGCTTCAAACATGAATATTAAAGGAAATGAATACAACTGCAATATGGTTCAAAAACATAAAGAAACATTTCACATCGACACAATACTATCTGATAGATGGCAACATGTAATAGGACAAAGCTTGATTAACTTCCTTGCTAATAATTAGCAAAAAAATCTACATGAGAAATTATTGAAAAAAATGGGACAACCAATTGCATTTTGGCTTGCATTCTGCTAGATATTTTCTAAATCCTCTATTTCATCTTCATAGTAGCTGCTTTAAATGTGTGGAGAACAAAACCAATTTTTATAAATATATTGAGAGAATGGAAAAATCACCAAAAAATTTTGAGAAGGTTGATGGTTAACTTAAATAATTTATCACAAAATAAAAATGATTGGTTTGAGAGCTTCCAAATTATTGTGCAACACCCATTCACCTGGTAAGATGTCTATTAACTTTAGTTAATATTAAACTTATAATTAAGTAAACTAAATATATAATGAATATTATTCTAACTTTATTTTCTCAAGCTCGTGCTTTGACCATTAGTGGATGCACTTCGGAGATGAAATATTAGAATTAAAACCATTTGAAGTCAAAATCTGGCATCCAACATGTTCAACTTCTACAATATAAATAAAATCATAGCCGATTCAACCAAGTAAATACAAAAAAATAAAAAAAAATAAATATCTTGGGTGTGTTCAGGCTTAGCAAATTGGTTGATGCCATGTAGATTAAGAAAATAAAAAATAGACCTCTCAAGTTAACTACACGCAAAGATGATAATCGCTCTATAATTTTTTATAATCTACTTTTAGATGATGGTAAATTAACCAAGATGAGAAAGAAAATGAAAGAATTGTTGTTAGATCAGATGATAATGAAGATATTGATATTCATATTGCTCGTGTACCAGAAATTAGTGGATGTTTGCAAATATCCACCAGACAAACAAGATCAAAAATCAAATACCTGGAAAGGTTGATAAAGTGTATTTATTATGAAATATGTAACAGATTATTATTTAATTTTACTCAATATGAGTGGACTTATTATAGTAATCTTAATGCATAAAAGAAGGCAGCTGTTGTGTTGGATAGAGAAGAAGAATGAGATGACTCATATGAGAGCGATGGGGAGGAAAATAGAGCTATCAGATATCACGACAATTCCTTAAAAAAATGAGACTAGCACTAATGATAATAATGATGTTGATTTTTAGAGCATAATAAATTTTATTTAAAACTTTAAAAAAACTTATTCAGAATCTAATTCAACATAGGTTTTTTCTATTTTTTTATGTTTTAGAAACTTGGAACTTATATTTGATTTTCAAACTTTATACACATCCATATAATGGGTCTTTTATGAATTATTTTTTTTTAATGAACTTCACCTGCTTTCTATTTTTTCCTATGATTTCTTTGTGTTTTCATTCTGAAACCTATTGTCAATTCAATTCAAAACCAAAATTTCAAATCAATTGAAGAAATTCCTTCAATGAATGATATAGGTTTTTTTAAATCTTGATTGGCAAAACAGATCATGTGCTATTATTTTAATTTCTATAATTTTGATAATACCTAGGTGTTAACATGATAGTTATCTCGAATCAAATTGGATTGAAATTATGATAAGTATATCTACTACCTTAGGAAAAATAAGTGTATAACGAGATGATTTAGATATGAATTTTAAAATCTTTAATAATGAATTTATTATCTAGTTTCAATCCTGCGAGGGCAAGTTGAATATGTAATTCTCTTGCTTAAGATACAAATATGAGTAC